CTTTGAGCGTACGTTGTTATTTCTACCAACTGTTCACCTTGAATATCGGCATCGTATTCTTGCCTTCGGCCTATAACCCTCCCGGTGTAGGTTCTGAGTCAACCTGTTAGATTAAACTAAATTGTGTAGTCTTGACTCCTCTTACCTTTAAATTTTATGTTACGTTGACTTTTGAGTTTCTCAGCGTAAATGGTCGGTAATTACAAGCACGTCAGTCCGTGCCATCTGTAAAATAGTGTATTCAATAAAAGGGTCTTTTACATACTTCCCTTGGTTGTGTTCATCATCAGATATTTGCGAGAAGTCACAAAGATTAACACTTAGATAGATCTAGTTACATTGCGTGAGAGCTATGAGAACTAGATACCACAAAATCTTAATCAAAATCTCGTACAAGGCAGCTTTTATTACGGCAATACCCCATAAAGCCATACACAGTTCTTCCAGTTTAAAATTAAGAAAATTCAGTTACGTATGATTTGATATTTCCTTCGTAACTTAAAAGCAGTTTAAGAAAGGTATCATAGCATACTAATTCTGCTTGTTATAAAACTTTTACCAAAGGTTTCGCGTGATTAAAACTTATAATCAGTACACTTAAAATTATCGGTTAATTAAAAGCGTAAAAGGAAATCTTCCCCCTCTTTTCTTATTAATCCAAAAGGGCAATTTGCCCTTGAAGGACTATTACTTTCGTTTTGGCATTTTGTGTCGAAAGCATTTAAAGGCTGTATCACTTTTCAAATCGTTGCCATCATATATTATTGCCCTGTCTTATATTTAAAGAAAGTAAATAATGAAGAATCTGCATAAATGTATGTATGTTTCTCGCATTGTGATAAAACAACGGTACCTAGAGCCATCAAAATTTGAATAACGTAACCTTCCATAGAATATGGTCATGTGGAAGCCCTAATTGGAATTTGAGATTTGTTTAGTATCGATTTCATATTTTGTAACACTTCGAATTTTTGATTAAAAAAACTCAACGATTTCAAAGCGAGCAATGGCAACACTGTCCGAAAAAAAAATTATCTCCAGTGCGTGAGACTCTGTATTGGAAATTCTAAAGATATGCTCATTTTGAAATTAATTTGCGATACTGCTGTTAAACTGAATTTTATAGATTGAGTACGTAGAACATGATATTTAATAAATAAAGTAACACACAAAAAGTTTAAAAATCGCCCCTTTGAACGTCATTTAAAATCTGGAACCTTTCACATTTATTATTATTATTATTATTACTATTATTTTATATGTAACTTTTACTTCCTTTTCAATTCTAATAAGGAAACTGTTTAACCTGACTAAACGCTTGTATATTCTTGCTCGAAGTGATATATGAAAAATCATCCTGGACCATTGTTCTTCTAAATAATATCTTTTCCCATTAGATTATGATGATAGTGGAGGTTGACAGCAGATATCGGCAAAAGTGATTGATCTGCAATTTATTGATCTGACGTGAATTTTATTCGAAGAAGAATTTTTCCTTTTTTCTGCCCCCCTCTCCCGATTTCCCGTCCCTGGCTTCTAGTAATAAAAGAGAACTCAGACTATAAAGGAAATATTTATTTCACTGTGGGGATTAGCCTTTCCTTTCATACAAAATTGCTTCTCAGCTTTCCATCCGTTGTGGATGAATACCCAGAACTCATCAAAAGTTTAAATTGCTACTGCCAAAATATCGAAGTATGAAACTAAACAGAATATTCTATCAGTCAACTGATATTTGAGAAATATCTAACAGAGTTTAATGTTTGTGCTTAATGTCCTTAAAATAATTTACAGCAGATAGAGCTGTAAAATAAATCATGAAGAGATATGACTAGAAGAATAGAAGAATTTAATTCTTTAAATAAGAATAAAAAAAACAATAATATTTTCAAAGTCGAATTTCGTTGGCCTTCACATGAAAATTCATATAACGATTGATCTGATTGACGACTGCAGGTCAAATACAATACATGCAGTAACATTTCATTTAATTGTTTTGACGATAAAGCAGATTTGGATCAGGTGATTGGAATTTTTCTTTGATCTTCCTACATACTACTTTTAATATTTGTATACAAGTAAATTCTTGAAATTTGTAAAGCATAAGGAGAACATTCATCTTTTGTATTTTTTTGGTGCAATTAAAGGTTAACTCAATGTACACAGCGAAAAAAAAATGGAACAGTTCCCATATCTGCTGTTCTACTGTGCCGTTTAACGAATTTCAACTTGCGTTTTTCATGTCTGGAAAGCGAAACTTAGGGTATGTGTTAGATTTATATATAGCATCGTTCTAATTAAGTATTTTGACACAAACTTGGGCTTTTTCGAAATGACATGCGAGAGGTTTTTTCCATATTTAGATTCTACCACTCGAACTATGACAAACTGCCAAGTTTTGTAAAAATTCGCACGAGTAGTGTTTTAAAAATTAGCTCTCAAAATTTTAGTTCCTCAATGTTAATTCAATCTGATATATATTTATTAAAATCTTGTTTTATATAGAACTTATTTGATTTTTTCTTTCCCATTTCGAAATTTAGGTTCATTCCAAATAAAATTCGCTCATTTTTTTATAATTTATTTTAAAAATTTGTATTTTTAAATAATTCAAAAACATTTTTAATTACAATCTATAAAAGTTTTACCACCATCTTAAAGTAGTTGTATTTCTAAGCCTGTCTGCAAAAATTAGAGCTTTTATTCAAAGTTTCCGAAGATATACGTGAATTTGTATAAAAAACACGTTAAGATAAATTTTTGAATTCCTCCGTAAATTTCTCTCCAAATTTTACAAAATTTAACATTTAGTCATAATTTGAGCCGTAGAATCGAAATGTGGAAAAATATTTGCATGTCATTTTAGAAAAAGTCCCGATTTTTGGCCAATATACCTATATTAGAACAATGATATATATATCTAATAAATATCCTAAATCGCGCTTTCGGCTCAGTAGAACGAAGGATATAAAACTTTCCCTTTTTTCCCCGCAGTATACTATTTATTGCACTCTTGAGGTGAAATGAATAGCTTATTTCATTGATAGACCAAAATTCCGAATTTTGGACTACTGCAAGTATATCTTTTTTCGATTATAATTCATCAATAAAATTTTTACACTAGCACCTGAACAAAATATAGCGAGTTACAGCTTTCCACTGAACTTAAAGCTGGTAGATAGCCTTGCGTCTATTTTCAGAAATCCTTCTTATATCAGGAAGAATTTAGATAAAATAATAAGGCAATTCTCTGGCTTACGATTGTAGAATTATTTTGAAACAGCAGACGGGAACAAATGTGCAATGCCGTCGCCGGGACTCAAACTTGGACCTCTCAAATACCCGCCGAGTGTGCTAACGTTACACCACGGAGGCATGGTGGAAGGAAGGAGAAAAATACGCTGCTGGGTGATGAATTGAGTACTTGAGAATTCGTTCTTCCCAATTAAGAGCCCGGGAAATGTATTTCCTAACGATAATTCTTCGAAGATAGTATATTTATAAGTTATAAAACGTATTTCTATCAGACTAGATTAGAATGTTTGACTTGTTCCATCATCTCGGCAGCATCAATATAAACTTAGGTGTCAAAGTAAATTTAGACATTAACATAAATTTAGACGCATTGCTTTATAGTAATCAAATTAACAACAGGTAATGAATAATTTATCAATTATACAAAAATTTTATTTAGTTAAAATTAATATCATATAAATTGCTTTCAATTACAAATTTATGAATAAAACTGGCAAGTCTATGAATATGTCTTTATATTATCTTTTTTGGGGAGTGATATAAAACGTAAATGTTACAAAAAATGCACAGGCATTGCTGAAATCAAATATAATTCCATTGTATGAATTTTTTAAGGTCATGGAACCATGAACCATGAAATTCGACTGTTAAAATTTTAGCTTGTCTGAAGAAGATATTCTCATCTTATAAATAGGAAATTTCTGATGTACAAGAGTTATATGCAAGAAGATTTATCTTAACTTCTGTAAATATTTGGGATTTCGTACAATACTAATTATATTGTCATGTGGTTTTTACCTTTTTAATGCTGCTCATAGTTCATAGTTCTAGGAATATTTTGCAAGAGAAATGCTTCATGAAGTTTAATAAAACACATAATTGTTTCTGTCACATTTTAATTAGAATAGTCAAACTTTATTAAAAAATTTATTATAATCAACTCTTTTTGTGAAACTGTTTCAGGCGAGTATACTGACTGACAGATAAGCAGAACTGTTTAAACTTGCTATGCTTTGTTATTTACCTAAAACATTGTAGAAGGGACATTCGCTATCTCGGACGCTATGATGAATGACTAAAAGTAATAAATTCTCACGTTACTAGATATGGGCTCCAGACCTGGATAGGATGTAAACGTCATTGCAGAATGAAGCATTTAAAATCTATCAAGCCTGACATTCTCTCGAATTAATGGGGTTAGGAAAGGGAGTCGATATTTCATACCCTGGAGACCCTTTGGCTAACATTGGGATCGAGTTTAAACAGTTGTGGTAGGCTTTACGAAATTAAACATTTCAACCAGTATCTTCAGTGTAATTATCTATTTCCATTCTAAATCGGATAAAATGCTGATTAAACTATATAGAAAATTTATTTAAGTAGTGTGGAGTAAAGAAATTGACAACTATTTCCATCACGCATCCAACATTTACAGTTTGAGTATTATGTTATTTGATTATATCTATATATGCTGTGAAATAAAAATAAATGCAGCCATGTGATTGAAACAGCTATTTTGCAAATAACGAGAAAAATTATATTTAAAACTATGGAAGTATTTTTACACGCAATATTGTAAGTGCTTTTTGAATTTTAGACTCAAAAAAGTTATAAACGAATTAGTTTTTGAAAATATATTCATTTTGAACTAAGCAGCCTAAAAGAGCAATTTAAAAGGATCTTTAATATTACGATTTATTGCAAATATATTTAGTCTATGAAGAAGCTTTAATGTATACATTTTTTGCAGGTTCTCCATACTGATTTAGAATGATATGCTGATGTTTGGTAAGCAAATATTTTATTTAATTTTCTAGCTTTCAACCCTCACCTGTATTAAAAGTTTGTACTATCAAAATTTTCTCCGATGAAATTTCTGTTTCTAAACGCACTATTTTAGATAGAAATTTTAATGTCTTTAATCCCTATTTACTTCGGTGTGAGTAGTATGAGATATATTTTATCAGTACTGTTCAGTGTCATTCTAAAATTATTTGTAATGTTTTCTATCAAATTGTAGTAAATTATGTTATTAAAACTAAACTGTGCTCTTAGATAAGGTTGAGAACTTCAAGTAAGCGAAAAGTTCTCGTTTCTGTCCGAAAATAGAGATTTCATGTGTGGAAGATATAATCGTAAACTAAATAACGCAAATAAAAATTAGCGATTGCTATTACTTTATACAAGATAAAGTTTTGAGTATTTTGATATGTAGAAAACGGCTGACTAAACTATTTTAAGTATTACAGAAACCTAAATCTTAACATTACCATGTAATATAAGCACAATTCATGGGATAAACATATAGGCTACTTAACCCTTAGAAAACCGAAATCATCGTTAACACTTATGCTTAAAATACAGAAACGCTCATCCGTTTCGTCCCCTCCCCGTCTATTAACGCACAAAAATGTATTAAGATTTCAAATGACATCCTTTCTACTGCCTAAAAAAGAAACATCCATTAGCCTTTTAGGACAAGTTATCCACAGCAAAGGATACAATGCATTTGGAGAACTCTGCTACTGCATACCTTAGGGCTTGGGAAGAAAACAAGTTCGCAATTTTCACCGTTTCGGGTGGTTGTGGTCGTTTGAATGAAAGGTAGCCTCGGGCGTTTTGCCATTCAAAGGGTTAAACTGAAATAATCTATGCCAGTGCCACTCAGCGAATGATCTATGCAAAAGCAATGTAATACATTGTAAATATACCCGAACCGAATATTTTCTGTATTCAGTAAATCATCAAATGAGTTACGTCCTTTATGCTTACGTCATTCAAGCCAGTTGAGCATGAAGTTCCGATTTAAAACTATTAAATTTTAAGAGTTATTTATATACAAATAAAAAAGTGGATAAAAGAAGTAGAACTTCGCACAAAATTGAAAAAACTGTAGCTAATATCTCTGATTTTTCGTTTCAAGGATTTCCAAGAAATCGTCAAATCTTTCAGTTGAAGGCAGAGATAAAATTATTAATGTGGTAAAGGGTAGCCTGCTTGTAGGGAAGAATTTCAAACAGTGATCTTACTTAAAAGAGAAGAAAGTATTCTGAGGATTATAAAGTGTGGAGTTTCATCTACATGAGATGAGAACAGTCTCATTTATCTTTTTGTAGTAATGCGAGTCCTTTATCAAGTGTCAAATTAAAACTTTTTTTAGCATTGCTTCAATTCCTAGTTATAAATAAAACTTTTTCAGCTAATCTCTGAAAGCCTTACCGGTTAACACAGCTAAAAAATAAAAATTGTAGCATCCTGTAGAATAGGTTACACATTAGTTGGAAATTATTTTTTAATATGCTTCGAAAAGAACATAATCGAAAAGTTAATAAAATTCCTTTTTCATTTATTATATTTTCTCGGGCAATAAAGGATATGTCTGATGGCATTGAATATGAACTAATTGAAAGAATAAATAGTATGGACATTCAGTTTCGGTTCATGATGTCGACAACATGCAAGGCATATAAATTATTGCAAGGCATATAAATGGCAAAAACTTCGAGAGGAGTTTCTTATCATGTTAGGTTTTCAAATTATAGTTTTTAGATTGGAAAATATTTGCTATGTCATTAATAGTTACTTTTGTGAAAAGATAATGATCTGGTAAGCTATGGGGATATCTAGATGAAGTTCCCGATATATATATTCGTAATACTACTGATATATCTGGGGTGAATTTAATTTAATTACGACAAGACTCAAAAAGTTTATCTATCTTGCTTTATCCTAATTCTGAACGAGAGCTTTCTAGGGTTGAATAAAAACTCTTCTTACCCATCTTCTATAGTGAGGATTTTCTCAGTTCTTTTCCATAGACAGCTTTTAAATTTCCCTACCTCTTAAAAGGTACTACAAGCATAATGTTTTCATAATTTGTTTGGTATACATCCAAGTCAATCATGTTCTGGTAGATTGAACTTACCAGTATAAAGAACAAGGCGGCTGCTAATGCGTCTAAAACCTGAAAAAAAAAAGAATTTTAGCAATAATATTTTTTTTAATAATTCACAGAAATCAAGGCATAAAATAATAGTTTCTGTAAAATATATTAAGCAAATAAGCACATTATTGTCACTGGCTTGTCTAAGAAAATATAAATAACAGTTAATTCTTACTAATAATATACAAAATTTATATTCCAAGATTACGTATAAGCAAAATTAGCAATCTTTTCGTTACACTGACCAGTACAGTACTGTAATTTGAAAAGTAAAGGAAATGCTTTTGAAAGGTAATGGAGGTTTTGTGGATTAGGAAAAGCTCCATTTTTCCCTACCAGACCAGTACAGTATTGTAATTTGAAAAGTAAGGGAAATGCTTTTGAAAAGTAATGGAGGTTTTTCTGGATTAGGAAAAGCTCCATTTTTGCCTACCAGGCATTGCCTATGAGAAATACAAAGTTTTAAAAAGGAATAAAATATGTAGAAGTCTGGAGTCTACAAACTGCTACTAAATACCATCATTATTAAAAGACTGTTGGTACGGTTGATAGCATACAGGTTGGAAAGTTAATGAGACAAAATCACAAAATTGGCTGCCGTAGCTCCAATGGAAGCACGATGTATATATCATAATCCAAATCACGTAGAATACACTCTGCCCAATCTTAGCTAATTACATAATTGCAGAGGACTTATAACTATGTCAACACAACTAAAAGAGTGTATAATTCTCTACGAAAATTAAATGAAAAGGTATTAAGTTGTACATCTGAATTTTCACAATTTCTGACCGGTTATTACCCATGTATGAGTTATCAAACCATTTTGATTTCCTGGGCAATAATCGAGGAACATGTGGGGACGGTGACTGTGACAAATATATATTCGAATATCCGGAAATAAGTAACTACCAACTCAAAAAATCATCCTCTGAGAATATCCACTAATCGGTCAAAAGTATCTTCAGTAACTTGTAGCAAATAACCGTATCCATTTGTAGAGTTCTACGTGTTTGGAGATCATCCAAAACGTCTACAGAGTTGGTAGACGTTAATCGACTTATCGCTAAGTGTAAAGGTATAAATTAACAACTGAATTTGGAAAATTTGTAAAAGACTGTTTATTTAAAACTAACTAAGCTGAACAAAAGGCTTTTCTGGTGCTTACAACTTCGCCAGCAGGTTCAACGTAAAGCTTAAATTTAAGTAAACCAATAAGCAAAGGCTAAGCAAAGCAATTTAACGGAAAGATGGCTCAGAACTTCATCGGCGTGGAATTCACCTATCCACAGAAATTATGCAAGGCTGAAGACAAGAACTCTCATCTAAGATAGAACCTGATAACGTGACTACAAGAGGCAGAACCCGTTCTGTCTTAAAATTCCAAAAACCTAAACTTAAATGCATTCGACCTATATTTGCATGCTGGTGGAAAAATGGAAAGAGAAAAGTGAGAGTACAGATTCAAAACATAAAATTAAGAAGCCTCACACAGTACTGGATAAACATAATTCGCAGGATTTCCAACAGATCGCAAGTCTAAAATTTACATACTGCAGTACTATTTTATTATGTACTGTTATAATTATGTCTAGCATATGTGTAAATGTATGTATCTGGATTTGGTTTTGTACAGTAGCGATATAAGTGCTATCATTATGCACCATGGAATAACTATCAATAGAATTGCTTCGATGTCACAGTGGAAGTTTTCAAAATCTGCAACAACTGTAATATTATTTAGCAGGATAAATTATGCTTCCTGTCACTATATATATACAGTGATAAAAGATATGTGCAAATATATATACTTGTATATATATATATATATATAATATATATTACAGCTATATACTTTATACACACTATACAGAGAGAGTACAGTAATTAGCATGCACAGCTAAGATAGTGTCATGTATATGTCTTAATGCATTTAACGTTTCCTTGTGTAGCAGCGATGTAACTATTACCATTATATTATATTATGCATATTTATGGTATAGTGGTTAGAAGAGCTTGACTGCAATAGCGAAAGACCCGGATTCGAATCCCTGAGAATGCATGGATGTAAAATTGTCTGTACCTTTATAGAAGGTAACGGTGGCCACATTTTAGGTGCCTCCACAATAAAATGGCCACCACTTTTGGACTTGCATATGACGGCCGATGCCGTCATATGCAAGTACCCGCTATTGGAGGAAAAAATCTAACTTCATCTAATTTTCAAACTATTATTGTAGTTAACACTCAGTAATTTTTAAAACTCTTACTGAGTAACTGCTTGTTTGGATTAAAATATACATATCGTGGCTTCGTGTCCCTCGATATAAGAATTTCGTAACTTGAACTAGAGACTTATAAATGTGGAAATACATATAAAATCAGTGGTTTTACGTAAATAGACTGACAAGCACAGTCCCCTCTGCTCAGAGAAGGAATAAGTATATAAAACGCTGCATACGAGAGTCTTATTCTTTTATTAATTGGATACATAATTATAAAGCTCGCTCAAACGTTTATGGATAAACACACATTATTTCTAAATGACTCGCTCCGACAGGTTTATAAGCAACGCGAGTTTGTAATTTGAGAACAAAATGAAAAATCTTACGCAGAGAAGATTGGATGCAGGATCGCTCGTAGTATGGGAGAGGGTCTAAGTGAAATGAAGACAATAACATCTGAAAGAGTTTTCTGAATTATTAATACTGAATATATCTTACTTCTTTCTATAGCTCAAATTATTAAACATTCCTTTTATTACTATTTTTTTATTCAAATAATTCTCGGCTTCTACAGCTGAGTTTGAATGTTTGAATATTTTTTTTTCAAGACGAATAGCGGC